CTCTGATTCTCTTACCGTCGGCATGTGAGTCAGAGGGGACATTCACCAAGCGGCTCACACTCTAGCAGGTCTCTCCGAGGCCCAGTGCTGTGCTCAGCAGCCGCAGACACGTCGTGGGAAACCGCGGGAGCACAGTTCCTCCCTAAAAAGAAAACAGCATTGTGGTGGTGCCGCCTTTCCTTACTGAAATACTGCGAAGGAGACGCTTTTCCCACGAGATCGTAAGCAGCAAGTGCAAGCCCAGCGCTGCCAGAGCCCCCGGTGAGGAACGCAGGGCTGACGAATGGAGGTGGCCGTCCACCATGACGTCACCTGAAGCCCTGGATCCAGCTGTGCCTGAAGTCCCTGCGGCTGGACGTTCCCGTTTTTTAAGCCTCTGAGTTCCCGTCCCATGACCTCCAGGGCCTGGTCTGACACAGGGAGAGCCACGGCTTTGCTGTAGCAAGTGCCACCCGTACAGGAAGAACACAGCCATGAGAGGCCAGGGAGAACAGCAGCGATTATTGTCATGGGGCCTCTTTCCGTTCCAGAAACCTCCCCCCTGGTCGCCTCTGGCACCTTGGAAGCGTGGTTAAGAGGGAATTAAAGAACTGAATAGGTAAAGCTTGCGGGGGCAGAGGCTCGGGGAGGCCTCTGGAGCGACGCCCTCCACGGCTGGACCCGCGGTCCTGAGGGACACAGACCATGCTGGGCCTGAGTCATGTCACAGTGGCTGGGGGGGCGGGGGGCTGCTGATGGAGGGAGCACTTTGCAACCCTCGGTGCTGGGCTCTGTGGTGATTGTCAACATGGCGTGGGCCCATCGGATGGCTTTTCCGCTGTGGCTTTTCCAGGGGCGGGACCGGGAGCTGAATGCCCTCCCCACCAGGCTCCGAGTTCGCCTCTCCTCTCTTAGGTCCTTCTGCACTTGGGGGATGCCAGGTTACCCTCATTTCCACGTCAGGACGTGGGGCCTGACCCAGGCGGATCTGCAACGACCTGGCCAAGGCTGGAAGCATTTTTGGTTGTCACAGACGGGGCCGATGCTTGCGGACAGGGACCGGGGTTGCTGCTGAGCATCCCACCAGGCACGGGGCAGCCCCCCACACAAGGACCTGGGCCAAGCCAACATGTCACTAGTGCCGAGACTGAGCAAATCTGAGTATCTGCTAATGTATCCATTTATTTACATTTAAAAATCTTATCCTATATAATAAAAGGGTAATATGCAAATTGACCCTAACAGCAGAAAGACTGGGAATGACTGGTCACTATGACACACACTGACCACCAGGGGGCAGACGCTCAATGCAGGAGCTGCCCCCTGGTGGTCAGTGCGCTCCCACAGGGGGAGCTCTGCTCA